AACTCTATCTCCCGTATCTCTCTCTTGTTCTCATATCCACACACACACACACACCCATCACCACACTCCTATACCCACTCACTCCTCGACATCATCATCATCGTCTCCTTGTCCATCTCTCTCTCTCTCAATCTGAAAATCTCTCTATCTCTCTCTCTCTCTAAACACTCTCTTTTACCTTTCCGATGCCGAGAAGGAAACCACCATCACCCACGCCATTTTCAACCAAACCAAAACCCAAAAATCTGAACCTCAAACCTTTGGGACATGGGGTATCCACCTGTAGCCTTGCATGTGTCATCAAGGCACCTCTATGTGCTCTGCCATTAACGCATAGAGCTTGAGCTCTCTCGAACTCCATCTCAGGTATGGTTTAATCCCTCTTTTGATGGGTTATAATCTGGTTTGTGATGCGTGTTTATGTCGAAAATCTAAGGGTTTAAACCTTGTTTTGAATATGTGCATGCATGCCACCCCCAGCGACGAATTCCGACGAATGTCGTTGAGTTTGAACCAAGGTGGTGACTGCCTTGTTTGGTTTTAGCTCAATTTTGGCTTTTGTTGTGTGCTTGGGCTAACCTAAGCTTGAAATCGTGGCACTAACTCTCTGCATACACCCATACTCCCTGTCTCAGTCTCCGACGGTGAAACCCGAGCGTTTTTCGACAAGTTCGAAGATGTGCACTAGAACTCCTTTGAATACTATCCCAGGTAATTAATTACCTTGTTGTTTGTTAGGCAGTGTCGTGTGTGTGCAGTACAGTGTATGTGTGGTGTGGGCTGCGATGTGTGTGTGTGTGTTAACTGTGTGTGTGGGTGTGTCCGTGTAAATGTGTGAGTGTATGTGGTTTGTGTGTGTGGCGCATGTGTGTGCACGTGTGTGGTGTGTTGCGTGTGTGTGTGTGTTGTGCCGTGTGAGTGTGTGTGTGTTTAGTGCAAGTGTATATGTACATGATGTGAGTGTATATGTGTACTATATTGTGTGCGTGTACTGTGTGTGCGTATATGAGTGCATGTGTGCTGTGCATGCATGCATGTATTTGTGTTGGCGTGTGCGTGTACTGTGTGTGCCCAAACCACCCCTTTGTTCCTAAACTATCCAAACCCAAAACCCAATAGGTTCTAACCCTATTTAACCTAAACCTAAACCCTAATCCGGATCCAAACCCAAGACCCATTTCCATTTCTTGAAATTCTATAGTTGGGTAGTTTGATAAATTGTACATTTTTTTTTTTTTGCTTAGGTGAAGTTTCTAGTTGGGACCTCCCTAATCCTTTTCCGCACAATTCTGCTGCTACGGAGTATCTGTGAGTGGACCCCTTCTAAAATGACATGATTTCATAGTTTAATTACATAAATGAATAGCATGCCTTACGAGTTTATGAACTCATTTTATGTTAAGCATGTTTATGGAATATGTTGTTTATCGTCTCGTTTTTTGTGAGGAATTAATTATTAGTCTATATTGACCTATAGTTTGATATATTGTATTTTCTCTAAAAACCATGAACTGGTAGACTATCTGATGGATGACGATAGGATGCTAGAACATGTTTTAGAAACCCCTTTTTATATTATAGATGATGGATGACTTTATACTATGAAGTGATTATTTATGAGAGGCGTAACTATTTGTGCGTACCTATTGGACACTATGCCGCCTGGGGCGAGGATCTGGTGTTGGTAGATAGGTCAAGAGAAATAATCCCTAGCTACGGGCTGAGGGACATGGAGTAGGCATTGGGTCGGGAGTTAATAATCTTTGGCTACGGGCGCAGAGACCACAGTGCTGGCATAGGGTCGGGAGTTATATTTATTCAGTAATCTTATTGGTACCACATCGTGCTTACGAGACGATCTGTGAGACGATTGATATTTTGATTTCCGCGATATGTCTTTTGAGATGTTTTTGGCATACTAGGATTTTCAGTAAACCTATCACTTATTGTGCTAGTAGTTTTCTTTATATAAACCTGGGGGTTAGTATGTTAATAACTTTTTTATATATCTATCAACTTGGTCCACTCATGTTTGTTTTGCGCCCCCTTCAGGACATAGAATTGAGGCATACAATCCCGGCATCCAGGCATTTCCGCATCGGCATCTTCGAGTCCTCTCAGTGTAGGACTCACTCCTTTGTTCAACCAATTTTTATATTAATTCTTTTAGTGTTCTAGATTAGATGTGTGCTCTAAACACATTCCTTAAATGCATATTCTTTATTCTTTTACATTTATAAACCTTATCTATTCCATGTTCTCAGCATTTGCAATCAATAAATGGCTTTCGTCACCTTCGGGTGTCGGCCAGCACATGCCTATCTTGGTATTCAGGGAATATCGAGATCGGGGCGTGTCATTTATACTTCCTTTGTTTGATTTGTGCCATATATCTTTGATGACTTGTCCATTTGTGATGAGTCATATGCCACATGAAGCTTTGTGATGCATCATTTATATGCAACGAATTTTACATGTCTACAGAAGTTTTGGTATATATCTTGTAATTTTGACTTTGGTATACATCTTGTAATTATGATTTTGCATGGTTTTTTTTTTTTTTTTTTGGTCAGTAACTTTGCATGGTTGAAACATTAGAAATAGTCTCGAGGTTGTTTGCTTTTCCTTTTGTTGGGAAAGTGATGTATAAATGGAATTTTAACTAAGATTGACGTTGTTTGATTCAAAATTTGAAAAATCATGCAAAATAAGGTATTATAAGATTGAACTCGATAAAGTTACACGAATTTGAACCCAAGTCGAGTAAGCCCAAACTCAACCCAAATTTGAATTGTGAAGGTTGGGCTAGTGTTAGGTTGACCATCCAACCCACCCGAATTGCTCTCCCAGCTCTTACAAACTTAATTTTGATGAACGTGAAAGGACGCTGGTAGTTTTATTATTCCAATTGGTCCATTGTACTGAAGTTTCAGCACCCAGGGTTGCCTCATTGAAGCTCGCGTAGAAGGTGACTCCAAGTTGCTTATTGATTGCATTTATCCCATGACGTGTGCCTTTTTTAAAATACTCAACTACTTTTTTTTATCGTTAGAGACTAACAAAGTGAAGACTAAACCAATCAGTCATGTGTGTAATACAATTCCGTTTTAATCAGAAATAGTTCATTTGCTAGTGCACATCTCAGCGTACAAATTTCATTACCATCTTTTTGACAAACAACAGCGTTGGAAGAAGGATATTGAACTTGCACCAAAGTGTATAGACACCATTACTTCCTGCCACTAGAGTAAACCGTCACCTGCTACAAAACCTTCCAAGTACTAGAATTAAACAACCAGACACACTTAAATTCACCTATGAAGAAATCAAACAAGAAGAAAGCAGTTGATAGATCCCACCACACCACACCACAATTACCATATCCCTAAACCCTACTACAACTTCAAACCCTCCATTTTCGTGCCCAAAATGTTACACCTCACCAAACTCCCAATGGTATTCAAAACCATCTTAGCATCCTCCCACCTATTCCCATCCGCTAACTTCTTGTACAAGTAACTCTCAAACGTCATCCGCTGCACGTACTCGTCGCCGCACAACTCCACCAACGCCTCCCTCGCCGCGTCGCTCCCGTAAAACACCTTTTGCAACAAATCCAAAAACCTAAACGTTGTAATGTACTTGCCATCCCACTCTTTCAAATACTCCCTCTTCAAATCCCCTTCGTTTATCATCCTCTCTCCTCCTTCTGACGCCTTCACGATCGCTTCGCCGCACAATCTGCCCGATTTCGCCGCAAAGTATATCCCCTCCCCCGAACATTTCGTCACATACCCTGCCGCATCCCCAACCAATGCCACGCGTCCTCTAACGCGTGTTGGTCGGGGGTGTTCGGGTATCGGATGGGCCTCCACTTTGATCACTTTCCCTCCGCTGATTTTAGAATGGGCCCTAGCCCTAATTGCCCTTTGGAACACCTTAATATCCTGTTTGGAGCACACCGTGCCAGTCCCCACGGCCACGTGGTCGCACTTGGGAAAAACCCACGCGTAAAAATCGGGCGACACGTCGTTTCCCACGTACATCTCGGCGAGATCTTGGTAGTAGTCCATTTTATCGTCCGGGAGTTTAATCCTCTCCTGGAACGCAATGGCGCACGCGTAGTCTCCGGCCTTGATGGACTTGGCGACTCGGCTGTTGGCGCCGTCCGCCCCGATCACGACGTCCACCGCCAGCGACTCCCGCTTGTTGTCCGCCGTGTAGCTGATCACGTACGGCGCGTCGACCGAGGTGGGGACCTCGAGATCCGTGACGAGGCCTGAGATGAGGTTGGCTCCGCGCGACTGGGCGCGGGTGCGGAGGTAGGAGTCGAGCACTTCGCGGCGGAGCATGGCGATGAACTCGTGGGGGAGGAGGGTTTTGCCGAAATCGACGGCGAGATTCGAAGGGGAGAAGATCCTCATGCGAGTGACTTGGCGGTCGATGAGGTGGGATGGGATGTCGAACTCGTCAAGCATGCAGAGAGGGATCGCTCCGCCGCATGGTTTCGCGGTGGACGGACCGCTCCGCTCGAACATGAAACACTCCACTCCGCCGGTGGCCAAGGCCTCAGCGGCAGAGGACCCAGCTGGGCCCGCTCCGATCACGGCGGCTCGGAGCTTCCGGCCGACGATGGGTGGGTTGGTGGTCCTAGTGGTGGACTTTAAGCATCGGATGGTGAGAGAGCGGGGTTTGGCCGGCAGCGGAGCGGCAAAGAGACTCAAGGTCGCTTGAGTTGCTGTGGCCATTGCTTTTGTGGGTAAAACGCGAGCTAGCGAGTGAGTCAATGAGTGAGAGAGAGATGCTTTTGGTTGCCTACCGAATATTAAATCCGGAAAAAACTAAATTTGAAGGTAAGTTTTGAAAACTAAAGAACATGGTAGATGTTGATGGATGGTTGATTATTTAAATGTTGATGGATGGTTGATTATTTAAATATTGATAAATAAATTCATTCTTATTAGTGATATAGTAAGTTTAATATTCAAATTTAGCACTAACTTATTAAATCCCTCCCCGAGACATGTGAGCGTCGGGGGTTTTTAAAATTTCGATTTTTACAATTTTAAATTGCAATTTGCACACATTTGAACAGAGGAGTGTGGAATCACTACAATTACATCAAGCCCTATTAATTTTCAATTTGAAATTTAGGAATTCAAGTGGGAGGATGCGAGACCGGAGCAGCGGCGGCGGCGGCGGCGGTAGTAGTGGAGGTGGAAAGTAATTCCTGGATGGTGGTAGGGCGGCAAATGCGAGAGAGGGGAAAGCCGTTCCAGGCGGAGTCAGCAAGCAAGGAGTTGACTCCCTTGGTTGGGTTGTACAAATCCCACCACACGTGGCTTGAATCTTGTTGGCACGCCATTTCTTTCGAAAGGCATCCGATTGCTGCTCCGTACATCCCCAACCCACAGCAAGCACTCTTCACTTCCTCAAATCCTGCATTCATTCATTCAGTCAATCGTTTGAAATGTATGGAATTAGAAAGAGTTGGCAATCGTAATCGTACCATAGCGTTTCGGGTTGTTTATGATCTTTGTAATTCCTTGGTACACATCACAGAACACTATCTGTGCATCCGGCAACTCTGCGTGGAGCTTGCCTATCTGCTGGTGCAGCACCTTGTTGTACTCCGAGACCTGCTCGTTGATCTCCTCCACGCATCCACTCCCGACATCATCGTCTCCTTCGTCACCAGGTTCAGAATTGGAATTGGTGGAACTGGAATTGTGGCCGTCCAACAACATACGCGGCGTGCATCCCAAGGGCAATATCCCCATGCATATGATCCTCCTCACATTCATGTCGTACAGGTTCCTTATGACATGTATCATCTGATTTGCTAAAATGTGGGAAAATTCCTGGTCACTGTTCTTGGGTTTCTCAGCGCCGGAGGAGGAGGAGGCGTTGCGTAGGTAGAGGTTGATGTAGTCGTCTTTGCCAAAGGAGAGGTAGAAGATGGATGATCTGATGAAATGGAGGGCTACATCCTGGCTGAGCTGCAGTTGTAAGAGCTGCATTGAATCGAAAACTTGGCGGAGTTGTTGGTTTATGGACTGGTAGCTCTGGCCGCTAGGGTTCATGATAGTTGCTTGTGCCGAACCAAAGTTGAGGCCTCTTAGTATTCCGTCAATGGATCCGTTTTGTTGACTGTAGAATGGTAGGATACTCGGCATCCCCATCTTCCCAGCTGTTGTGTGCACAAAACATTTCATCAAAAAAGACTCTCAGGAGGATCATATGAAGCAATATGCTACAATTTCAGTCCACATTTCGGATGTGCTTTATTACTATTGGCCTGAGAGGTTTTGACACTTGAGAGTCGAGACCTTGTTCATTACTAGGATCGGGTTAACAGTAGAGTGGGCATGGGCAGATTCAAATTGAAGCTGGCGGAGTTGGGTAACTCAGAGAAACAAAACTAGTACTTGTACGGGTTTTGGCAAGACAATGATGGGTTTTCAATTCCAACAAGAAATATGCAGTCCAATTCTCAAGAAAGCTGAATCAAATCAAATCAGAAAAATGCTCAACACAGATTACTTGAGAATTGAGAAGAAATTGAAGTCCAAGAAACAGAGCATCACATACGAAATCAAGAAAGAAAGAAAGAAAAGAGACGGAGCGAGAGTAATAAGAGTTACCGAGAAGATGAGGAATGAGACTCGCATCAGAAGAACCGTTGCAGGAATACAAGGAGAGAGAGCTGTGAACAAGTGGGTAAAACAGCGTGTTGTCTCCGCAGTCGACAGAGGAATCCCCAAGAATGTAGAATGCAGGGGGCGCATTTGGGGAGTCATTCTGCCCTGTTGAAACCTCAGGCAATTTCCCGTGAGCTATAACGACGAAACCCATCACTGAGAGGGCAAGAAGATGAACCAGAATTGACCCTTTTGGCAGCTTCGCGCTATCCAACCCCATCATCTTTGCTTTGTTCCTTGTGCTCAAAGTCTCGCTCATCTTCTGCGCTGCTTAAATTCTTGAATTGAATTGAATTGTTGCCTCTGTAAAAATCTATAAGTTGAGTTGAGAAAACGAGTGTTGATGGTGTGTAGGTGGACAAGGATAAGCAAATGAGGGATTGGTTAGGCGATAGGCATCAAATACATGCCCAGAGAAAAGGGAGGTCAGCTGCCCATGTGTTTCTTCTGCGGGCACTGGGTTTTTACTTTTTGTCAAAATTTACAGACGCACAAGATTTCTTGATTTATTATCTTTCTTTTTTTTTCTTTTTTTTTTTAAATTTTGTCAAATATACATCGTTCTTAGTTGTTTGAAAAAAATGTTGGGTATACTTGGTTGTTAGAAAAAAATGCATTGATTGTTTGTGTCATTTAGAAAGTAATTGGGTTTTTGTCACACCCTAGCTTTCTAGGGCATTTTTAACAAGTATTAAACATTTTCATAGATTCATTGTTTCATTGTTAAAAAAACGCTTTTTAATAAAAATAATCTCGCACTGGCATTTGATGGCTTGTAAGAAAATAAAAGCCTGTTAGCTTTCAGGCTAAACAATACTTGGTATTGAATTGAATAGATCCAAGTTAAAAATTCACACACAGAAGATGCATTGACTTGTTTCACATATGGTTTTTTATTTTTTGATATAACAGGTAAATTTCAATATCAACCGACAATAATTACAAAAAAGGCTTAAATACAAGATTAACACAAAAAGAAGGCCAACAAAACATAGAGGACCAGGGCCAGTCCCAAAGCCAGCTTTGGAGCCCAGCCCACACAAAAACAAGCCAGAAAAATCTACAGCTCCTCATGCGCGTGCAAAACAACGATCACCACAATTCGTCGCACATCACCATCGCTTATGATCATACCTGCAAGAACCCCAAAATTGGTGAAGAAGAAGGCCTCCTCATCCTCCAAGGACCACTGTAGACATCGAAATTTCGGTGAAATAAATGTTGATCAATAATTAAAATTTCAATAATCATTTGTCACATAAATTTTACACGTAGCATGTGACTCAACGAAAAATCGAAAGTCATTTGAAAAAGTCATCAAATAGGACACGTGTCAACACCTGGCAGAAATGATTTATTTCATCTAATTATTTAAATCCGAAAATCAAGTTTTGGAATTCTATAAATAGGAAGTCAAGGCATTCATTTAAGGCAGGGATTCATAACCAATTCACATCACACCAAAACCTTGAAGCTTTGAAACGCTAAAGCTCCTAAGCAAATCCCGAAGGATCAAGAAAGCTCTCTTCATTCTTCGTCAAATCCTCCTTCAAGATCAAGCCCCAACGGCCCTTGAAGAACTTCCACCAATTCAAGATCAAGCCTCGACGGCCCCTAGAAGAAAGCGTTCATCGTTCATCACCCGTTTATCCTAAGATCAAGCCTCGAAGGGCCCTTGGACCAACAACACAATCCATAAATCTACACATTACGAAGATCGAATCAGAGGCTAAATTTGTAGAAAAGATTGTAACCCCTAAATCATTAATACAAATATTATTTTGTACACATGTTCTTGTCTCATTCATCTCAGGAATTTCCACGTTTACAAATTTGGCATGCCCAGTGGGACAATCTCTACCTCTCATCTCTATTTTCAAATCTACAAAAAGCACAAATGGCATCAAGGAAGGTTCAAGCAATTCCCGCAACCAATGCGAAAAACAAGAGCGTCCTCACCGCAAATGGTGTCACTTCGGGCATCATAACTTGAAGCAAGGCAAGAGCTCTTTCTGCCGCTTCTTCTACCCCTACATCAACTCTGCCGATGGAGCAAAAGCACCAGAGGCACGAGCCCGTGATCACCCTGGCCTCGCTAAGAGCACCAAGGGAAGAAAGTTCGAAGAAGTACTCTAATTCCATGTTTTCCGATGCCGACTCATGCAGCAGCTCAGCCATGCAAGTCATGACCACATGATCGACTTCAATCGAAGAGCAACTGGCTCAAATGAATGAAGCGATCGCAAGGCTAACACGAAATGTGGAAGAAAAATATTTGCAAATCGTTGCGCTCGTCAACCGACTGGAGGCACAAGACAGAGAGAACCCCGACCCAAAGGTTAATCCACTAAAGAAAGGAACTGGCGAAGAAGATGAGCCTCCGATGGAGAAAGTCGATGCGAAGCCAGAGCCAGACCAAGCAGCGGCACTCATGGGATCTCTTCTTTATCCAGTAGCTACAGGAGATGATCGTCAGCACCATCAATGCGCATTACAAAGGAAGCTCACATGACTCCGTACTATACTCAAAGCCTTACTCCAAGAAGATTGACGCTTTGAAGATGTCGAGGGGTTATTAGCCACCAAAATTCATGTAGTTCGATGGAAAAGGAAACCCAAAGCAACATGTCACCCATTTATTGAAACATGCAACAATGCTGGAATGAAGGGAGACTACCTCGTCAAGCAGTTTGTGCGCTCGTTGAAAGGTAATGCCTTTAACTGGTACACCGACCTCGAGCCTGAATCTGTCAACAGTTGGGATCAGCTAGAGAGGAAGTTCCTCAACCGCTTCTACAACACTTGTCGCACTGTAAGTATGCTGGAGCTCACCAGTATGAAACAGTAGAAGGATGAACCTGTCGTCGACTACATCAATAGATGGTGTTCATTAAGTCTAGATTGCAAAAATCGGCTTTCTGAAACCTATGCCATTGAGATGTGCGTTCAAGGCATGCATTGGGGGTTACATTACATCCTTCAAGGCATAAAACCAAGAACATTTGAGGAGCTGGCAAATCATTCCCACGACATGGAGCTGAGTATCGCCAATCACGGGAAGAATGAGCCGATCACCGACTTCAAGAAGGATAAGGTGTTTGCCCCTAATGTAGACAAGACTGGGAAGAAGCTCGCCAAGGAAGCTTTTACCATCAACACTACCCCCATCAAAACCTCATCTGCGCCTATCAAGATCTCCTCTAAGAACAAAACAAATGAGATAAAGAGAGGTGAGCCTCCTCTTACCCAAGACAGGTACAAAAACACCTTAAGGGAACTGGAGCGGAATGTGTACCTTTTTCCTGACTCAAATATGGCCACAATGTTAGACGACTTGCTAGAAAATAAGGTAATCGAGCTACCCAAATGCAAGCGTCCTGAGGAGATGAATCGCGTAAATGATCCTAAGTACTGCAAGTACCATCGTATCGTGAGCCATCCTGTTGGTAAGTTCTTCGTCCTTAAAGAACTCATCATGAAGTTAGCACAACAAGGGAAAATCGACCTTGACCTTGAAGACACAGTTGCAACACATACTACTACAATTATGTTTGGATCATTCGATCCCGTGTCTCTCCAAGTGACACCTGACCATTCCCGTCAATACTCAAGCTGCACGACACCTTCTACACAACCATCACTAGGGGCAAGCAACCAAGATGCACTTACCAACGATGACGAATGATGGACCTTGGTGACCTACAAAAAGACAAGGAAGCCAAAACCACAAGCCACAAGGCCAAAGGCGGAACAAGGGAGAAAACACTGAAGCCGTAACAATAGGAAACCCAAGGGAAACGTAAGGGCTTTTAAGCCAACATACGCTGGGGAACCTATGAAGCAAGAGTCACGTATTCTCGTCTCCTTGCACAAGTACTTCCCGAATGACTTCTTCCAACAGTGCATTACCATTGCCGGTCACATGGTGGATGTGGAGATAGAAGAGCCCTCAAAAGGCAATGTTATCACAGTAGAGGAAGAGAGAACCCTCATACCCAAAAAAGGCCTACCGACACACGTTAGCATCAAGGAAGCGTTACGATTGCCCAAGGGGATGCGAAAAGCACTAATAACAGTTTTAGCGAGTCCTGACGACCATGAGGTACAAGACAGCAAGAATGAAGGCTTAAAGCTTCGGCCACACGAATGTGCCACATGATGTGCCACCCATAATGTAATCAACTTCACTGACGAAGACTTACTGCTAGGATCAAGGCCTCACAACTGCCCTCTCTTGGTCTCTGGGTATATAAGGGAGCACAAAGTCAACTGCATGTTTGTGGATGGTGGATCGACCATAAACATCATGCCAAAGTCAACAATGACCACAATCAGCATCAAGGTGGATGAACTATCCCTAAGCCGTCTGCTAATCCAAGGTTTTAACCAAGGAGGACAAAGAGCGATGGGCATGATCCGAATGGAGATGACTATTAGTGAACTTAAATCAAGCACGATATTCCACGTGATTGATGCAAGAACTTCCTACAGCTTGCTCCTAGGAAGGCCTTGGATCCACTGGAATGGAGTAGTGCCATCCACCCTCCACCAATGCTTAAAATTCTATCGGGAAGGAGTAAAGGTGATCCAAGGTGATACCAAGCCATTCACAGAAGCCGAATCACACTTCGCAGACACTAAGTTCTACATGGATGAAGACATGGTGCCCGAAGCTCTTCCAGAAGACATCAAATCCACAGGCAAAAAAGCACCTAAAAAGCAGGAATGGCAAGCCATGTCCAAGAAGCAAGAAGGGCAAGTTGTGCCATCTTTAAGCAAAAACGATGACGAGCCTGCTAAACCTGCAACAACCAAAGGGAGTAGGACGCCTTTAGAAGGATCAAACACACCCATATTCGAATACATCCCGATGTCAAGAAGAAAGAATGATCAATCCCCATTCGAAACCGGAGCAAGCAAAGCCGACACACAATGGCACAAGGATAATGTGAAGTTGCTCAAGACGAATGCAGTTTTGCCTCTGACATAGCTAGGCGATGCTAAGGTTGCAAGACTACCACAAGGCTTCATAAAAGCTCTTCCAAAAGGGGTGGAACCAAGCTTTCTTCTAACCAAGCGGACCGAAGAAGGTTTTGATCCAAACGCCTACAAGCTCATGTCAAAAGTTGGGTACAACTTTGCTTTCTTTTCAAATCTTGGAAAGAATGTTTCAAACACCGTCAATGACAAAGAACATAATCTCACCAAGACTCAAAAGAAGTTGAATGAGCATGGTTACGGAGTTGACAACAACAAAGCCGGGCTCGGCTTCACACCAAATGCACCCGTGAAGATTTCAAGCAAAGCGAAAAACGCTAGCACTCAACACATCAGCGTGAGCGTTGAACAAAATCAAGAGGAGCCTAAGTCCGCTCCTCGGACGTCAGTCTTCGATAGGATGAATCATTCAAGGCCTAGAATTTCGGCACTTGATTGCATTAGTGGTCAAGACCAAACCTCCGTTTT